AAACCCCAAAACCCCAAAACCCCACTATACAATGCTTTATTAAAATTTTTGAAAATAAATTCATAAGTATCTTTGCTCAAATATCTCTGAAATATAATCAATCATCGATTCCTCAATATCTATTTAGCCAGATAATACCTTCTCCTTATCAACTTCTATAACCCTTGGCTAATTCTGAGGCTGATATATTATAACCTTGAATTTATTAGTAAATAGCTCATTAGCAATCACCATATCTACTTTATAATTTTCAATAGCACTCAACGCTTTCTACTCAAGAATATTTATATCAGTCTCAAGCTAAATTTTTTACATGTTTTAATTATGACATACCTTAAAAGAAATACAAAAGGTTGAAGGACACCATTCAGATTTAATGAATCCAAGCTTTTTAGGAGTGGGCACGAGATTCAATTGAAGTCCATCATATTCTCGAGACTAAATCTTATGCTCTGCCATCATTTCCTCTGGCAGGTAAAAATCAGAAACTGCTGCTGCCAAGTATGTAATGGATGGCACAGCTTCATTCGATATCATAGTGGATATCATTTCTAATTTATCTAAATACTGAGTAAGCGAGACGTATGGAATGCTTAAAAGCTTAGATTTGTACTGACTATATTCTCTAATAGCTTTCTTGAAAGACTAGTTCTCTATTTATCCGAATTCCAGACCTTGATCAAATACACTATTATATTATGATATGAATTCAAGAATCTTACCTATCTAAACTCACTCTACTCTTGAAAGGTTGCATCGACTTATCCCTGAATAAGAAGATAACAAAGTAACCTCTCTTCAGGAAATATTCTGCAGAACGTGATCCTCTCTATCCTGTGCTGAAGTTTTCAATTGATCTGACTGTATTTTTCTCAAGAGGAACGCTAGTGCCTCCAGATGAGACTAGGACTACTTTGCCTTACTGTGATTTAACATCTTTAAGGAATTCTGTGATTATTTGAGGGATAGTAAATGCTTTTGTAGCTATTACAATATCTTCTTAAATAGGCTTTAATTTCAGTACAAACAATATATCTCTCTGATAATAAAGATTCTAGCTTTCATTTACCTCATCCAAAGAACATCTCTACAACTCAAATCCAGCCTCATTCACAATTTTTCTCACGATATCTGGACTCATAACTATAATTTAGATATTCTTAAAAGATTTTTATTATTACAATAGAATCCAGCGACTTTGAATTACTTTTACTTTTTGAATCTGTCGAAGCCCTTTTAACTGCAGAGATTGGCGACACTCATAAATAGTAGAGTGTCTTAACTCATTACTTATTTAAGATTAAGAAGAGTATGATAAAATGTGTGGATGTCAACATGCACGAACACATCAAAGGAATAGATGAAGTCATATTGTCCGTGTTCAACCACCTCTTTGGGTATCTGTGGAGAGTTTTCGTTGAAATAATATCTATCAAAATTTTATCAAAAACAAATATATACTTGACATTATTGTAATCTTTAAGATTTGTTTTAGCTCTTTTGATCATTTCAGCAGAAATGTCAATGCAGTCAAGTTCCTTGCAATGTTCAGCAGTTCTTTTCGCTACTCTACCACCTCCTACTCCTATTTCTAGAACTTTCTTATCCTTTCCAAGATATGGCATAATATAGTCATTCTGTATTATTGAATGATTGAAAGTAAAAATTTACAAAGACTTGCTCAAAGGATGCGAGATCTGACCACTCTTCACCTAGAATCAGATCCTGTACTCTATCTTGCTGATTATTATCCTTTATCATATTTTATACCCATTCCTTATCAACTGACCATTCACGTGCATAGTTATCCCAGAGCGTTGCATTTAAATCAACATTTGATGGTGCTGTATTAGCTACAGTTTTGTTAAGTATCATTGCTAGTTCCTAAGCTGCACTCATTTTGCTTGCTGTAGATTCCATTTCTTTATCTCTTTCGAATTCGCTTAATTAGCTTTTATGATTTTTTAATAATTAATTATAAT